TTCAGGACAGGAGGGGAGTTTGAACGTCAAAATTAGTTTACTACACAAACTGGAAGTTGAGGTGTAGCGCTGTGCTTGACTTCTCTACTCCCCATGAAGAAACATCAGAGAAGTTCTAGGGGCACAGCAAGCTCCCAGGAAGCCACAGCATCCCATGGTACACAGTCACCTGCAGTTCTAGGTTCAGCAACATCTCTTGGGATTTAGATGTTAAACAGTAGTTTAACACTGATGTAGGACAAAGCAAACTTCACCACAGGACTTCCAGAGTGCTCCTGAACAAGGGGTGTGCAGCTCCCGTTCAGCTTTTCAGCTCGCACAAAGACACCTAAAGGTCAAGTTTTTCCTCTGTCAATGTAAAATAGGACACCAGAAGAGTCAGTTACTGAACATCCATAAGACGGAGGAATCCTTTGCCTGAACCACAGCCGAAATTCCCCTCCAACCATTCCCATGGTTATAAAAACCACATCTGCCTACTATTGATCTTTGGTGCCTTCTTCCTCCCACCTCTGTGAGCAGGGGAAGTTCCACACCACCAGTCACAAGCCATACACAGCCACCTCACGGCAACCAGAGAGCCACCACAAAAGAGGGTGTTACCACAAGCACAACTACCCAAGTGGAAGCAGATACTACACAGGTTCAGAGCTGTCCATCTAGGGAGACCGCATCAAATAGCTTCATTTCTAGGAGAGGCATGATAATTGCAGCGGCAGTAGGGCAGCTCTACAACTCCACTTTTCCCCACCTGGCTCTGGCTACAGTTTCTGACACCAGTTCCTGGATAAGAGGAGGTTGGTGGCACTGACAGGAATCTCTACTGCCTTACCCCGCCGTTTCTTCCGCTTCTCCCCATCCTCTCCAACCTCTCCATCGTCATCTTCATCCTCCTCTTCAGAATCACTGGTCTCGGAACCAGATATCTCTTCCCCTAGAAGAGAAGAGTGTGCTTTTTGATGTGCTTTCCTTCACCTCTTACCAGCTCGCTACTGTGACAGCAGTATTTGTCCAAGCCCAGCAGTGTCCCACATCAGCTTATGAGCACCTGCACAAGTCATTCACTGCTGAGCAGACAGACAGCTTGCCATGGCTCAGGAAATTTAAGAAAAATCAACATAAGCAATTTAATGCTGTGAAGTCAGTGTGTATATGTTGAAGCTCAAGTGGGTGCTTCTCATGGGAAATAAAGCATCCTTGCACTGCTGAAGCATTAAGCTAGAAAGTTTCCCTCGCAGGATCTCCCCATACCTTCTCTTCCATCTCAGATGGAGTAGAAAATGGTCAGATGAACAAAGTTCATACAGATTTGCTACTTAATCAGACACCTGTATAGCTGAAGCTAAGTGAGAAAAATGTCCAGTTTCACAAATGTTTATCATTGCTGCCACTGCAGACATGATGCTCAGATATTTCAGGCTGAGTTTGGAAATCAAACTGGATAGAATCCAACATTTAACATCCTGGTCCCCCAGTAATATTAGCAAACATAAGGCTGTTCTGTAGCATAGCATCTAAGAAGCCACCCTCAGCCCACCAGGGATGAAACAGCTACAGCCAGCTCCCAACCCTTGAAGAAGGAGTTACTGAACATTCCCTGCTTCTCCTGAACAGGCAGACTCCAAACAGCAAGCCACGCTGGAGTTACTGCTCCAGCTGTTCTGTGCTGTGAGCATCTCTCTAGAGAGAGATGATGTGCCAAGGTCACTGTTTAGTAAGCATCCCTCTGGCAGAGTCCTTCCGTGTTGATGGACTAATAGTGTCACAAGGCCATGAAGTTACAGGGCTTAAAGGAGCTTCATGTTTCTCTACACACTGTTTGAAAAGCAGCCCCAGTTCCAGCTCCACAAACTTGGTTTGGTTTTCTCCAGAAAAATGCATTCCTCCTCCTCAAACAGTGAGCACATCTGATCTTTTGTTACAGTGCCTTTTAATTCCCCACACCGTGCCCAGAACCCTCCCGCTCACCAGCTCAGCCCGGGCACGCTCAGCTCAGCCCAGACGCCACCACTTACCCTGGTGCCAAGTGCCACCTAGTGGGCAAAGCCGGGCTGCCCCCCAGCCCACCCGACACCCTCTGGAATCAAATGGGTCAAACAGAACCAGGACGCTGGCCTGTACCAGCTCCCAAACTCGTGTGACATCTTCAAACAGCAAAGAACGTTCACCCTCAAACAGAACAAACATTAGTACGGAGAGAAGCACCAGGAGGAAGGAGAATCTCACCTTCTTCCAGTTTTTTCTTAAGCTCTTCAATTTCTTTTTGAAACTGGCGGAGCAAAGCGTCCTTGGGATCTTCGTTAATCCTGGCCTTGTTCTTTATGTTCTTGGCTCGGTTGGCGTACCTGAGAGTGCTGATCGTCTCATCGTAGTTGTAGTCTGCAGGTCCGATGTTTGCACACTGGGACACACGAAGACCCAGTTACCAGAGGACAGTGTCAGAGCCCAGAACAAATAATTTCACAGCAACCCATCCCCACCTCTGCCAAACTCCCAGTGCTCCCCTTTCCCAAGATTCCCTGCTGCTTCTACACCAAAGCTGCTTTTGGTTACCCAAGCACAGCTTCCACTTGATCTTATGCACATGTGTACGTTGGCACTGTGCTCAGAACCTCACCCGTACGGAAGCAAAGAGAAAAGATGGGAAAAGATGCACATAAAAAGTTCTCTAAGCTGCAAACAGCTCTGAAATAAAGAAGTGCCAGGTTGTTCTCACGGCAAAGTCACTATGCTATCCCTGTAAAAACGCAGCTCAATCGCTGGCACTGGAAAGGGCATCTCTCAGCTTACCATCATGGTTTTGGAGTTGCCCCCCAGAGAATCCTGAAGGAGCCGTGTAAGTTTGGAGTTACGGTAGGGCACGTGGGTGCTCTTGCCATCCACCAGTGCAGAGATAACGTTCCCCAGTGTGGAAAGAGAGAGGTTGATCTTCGTAGCTTCCTTCAGTCGCTGCCCCGTGGCTCCAGTTTTCGCCTGTCTTTCAGAACCCTGGAAAGGGAAGCAGGAGTTACAACAGATGCTCTAATACACCTCCTTCCTCCTAAAAGGATCAACTACACCTGGAGTCTTGCTAGCAGCCATGTCACTAACCACCTCATCTGTTATTAGAGAATCTGGCTAAGTACCTCAGACATTGTTAGAGACAAGTCAAACAGGTCTTAACTGAAGCTTTCAATGTCAGCAAATACTGGACTGCTTAAAGTAATATAGCTGGGAAAATAGAGATTTTTGTCTCCATGCACAAAAATTTCCTGAGAGGAAAGTCAGGAGTTACAAGGCACCTCAGCTGGAGCTGCTAAGCACCATCTCCAGCCTTTCCAATCAGGATCAAGGGAGAAAGGCAACACTGAAATTGTTTTAAAGTTTCATAGAGCAACCTGAACATACATCGTGTAAATAAAGTTAACATGCAGACACTGAGTACTTTTAGTCTCCCCTTTCCTGCATCTTCTCCAGGGAAAGATGCTCCAGTGTAAAGTTTGGGCTAAAGACATTTTCACCAGCACAATTGCATTGGTTCAAAGCGAGTGACAGAGGGAACCCGCAAGTCATGAAGTGCATAGTCACACCCTTAAAAAAAACAAAACAGCAAAACCCAACCTCTTGCAAAGACTCAGTTCTGCTGTCCAGAGAGCTCTTTCCAGTGTAATTTATCCATTTAATGATTAATTTATGGAAGCAAGAGAGCTCTTCTACTGGCTTTAGCTACACTAAAGGCTCTTCCCAGTATGCCTCTGATTTAGGGTCCCAAGTGAATACTTCCTTCACAAAAGTCAAGTGTCAGACAGAAGCCTGGGCTCTAGCTGTGAAAGCAGGGAATGTGCCCTTTACTGTGCCCTCAGCAGTGCACACATGAGCAGTAATGCCCACCACATGCTGGGGCAGACCCAGCAGGTCCTACTTACAGCGAGATCGACGAGATGCAGTTTGCCCATGCGCACGTGCATGTTTCCATCAACCCCCTTCTCACTGCACTCAATAGTGATGGTGAAGATGGCATGCGAACGAGAGCTGTGCTCGTTCATGTTGGTGGCACCAACAGAACCTTTTAACAGAGAGAAAAACAACGTCGTCTTCAGAAAGAATCACATGCTCCTGTAATGCTCTTCCTACTCTCAAAGAAGCCTTATCCCACCTCTTTAGCCAACCCTGTTTTCCAGAAGATGGAAGAGGGATGCTCAGACCCAGCAGCACCTGTACTCTTGGGCAGTGAAGCTGCAGCACATCTCCAGTCTGGACTAGCAGAAGTGTTACAGCCTGCTGTAGCTCTAAGCCAACCACAGACTCCCATCCCAAGAGCAGCAGTAGTTCTCATCTATTTCTTTAAGGCTACAAAAAATCAGTAGCCTAAGGCATTCACAGCTGATCCCTGAAAACAGCTGTCTTTTGAGAAATAAGAACACAGCAATCCATGCCAAGAGCAACAGCAGTCAGAGCTTTAGGTCATAAAAGGATCCAAGCTTAACTAAGACGTCTTCCAGAAAATCCTCCCACCCACAGCGCAGGGCTAGTTGTTCATCCTGATCAGAACTGAAGAAGGAAAAGGACCAAGACACACACCAGAGGTTCTGACAACGCTGACTGCCCTCATTGCATCCTCCCCTTCGCTCTTTCCCCCCCTGGCACTGGCTGATGTGGGAGGCACAGACTTCTTTATCGGCCCCTGCATGAAAGAGGTTCGGGAGGCACTAACTTTTTTGTTCTGCTCAGCTGAACAATCTTTCCAGCATTAGGACCAGGATCTCTCACTGTGGTCTCATAACCAGACTTCTGATCTGAGCTATAAACCTGCCCACAGCAAGGCTACGTACGGTTCTTGTGGCCCAGAGTCATGATTCTGTCCATATCATCTGCATTGTTTACGACATAAGCTGAAAGGTCTTTGATATAAACTCCCACATCAGGTCTCTCTTTAACCTAAGAGAGAAACAGTTTAGGCTGAGCATCCTCAGGAGATCCCCGACAGCAAATGTCAGTGGTACTGTAACAGTACAGTGATTTACTCCTCCAGGTTTTGGTTTGCACATAAAACACTCCAACACTCAGAATCGAAGCAGTTAAGGAATAAATATTCATGCAGAACAATATTCCACTAGTTTCCCCAGTGGCAAATAGTGACTTCAAGTCTCAGTCTCCAATTCCTAGAAAGACTGCTGAGGGGCCTTTGGGGTAGAACTGTGGGCACAAAACCGACTCAGAACAGCCAGTTTCTCACTACACAACTGACCAAGTGGAAAAGATTCAGAGAAGTCAGAAGGAATATCCAGCTATCCTATCTTAAAGAAAATAGCCCAACATCCCACTTCTCTTCAAGTGCTTCTTGGTCTTTAAAATATAGTATTGCTCACCAATTCAAAACAAACACCACATTCAGAACAGCAAGCTCACCTCTAATCTCTGTGTCTGGTCTTTTCCTAGCAGGTCCCGCACTTCTTCATTGTAAATTTCCAGGTAAGACACACGAACCAAAAACCTGAAGACAAGCAGGTGGGGAGCTGTCTTAGCAAGACATTTGCTGCAGTCCAACACACACAATCACAGAGCGCAAAGAGAAGGCAGTGATGCACCAACACAATCCTGCCACCCCATCGAGAACTGCCTAAGCAGAAGCCTTTCAGCTAGGGGCAGAGGTAGTTTCAGTTGCCATTGTCAAGGTCAGGCTCCTACTACAGACAGACACGCAAAAGACAGCAGCAGTGAAGAAAAGCTTTTTACCTTGTATCCCCCTCTGCCTTGGCAATGTGACCAAATATATGGGCAAAGGAGTTGGGAATGATGCCTCTAAGCTCAGGAACTGCCCGGACCCCTTCCATGGTGAAAGTTTTGCCTGTTCCAGTCTGCCCATATGCAAAAATAGTACCTGAAGGATAAGAAGATACATGAACAAACTCCAGGAAGTTGCCAACTGTGGTTTTACTTCATCTCCTCTTAGCCTGATAGCACTAAACACTTCTATTTTTATGGAGTTGAAATTTTCCACCCACTCCAGTAGATACTGTACAAAGCCAGGAGCACAGAAAGGCTGAAGAACCACAGCGAGCAGGGCTGAGCCACTGGTTTTTATCCAGCCTGCAAGATATCTAAGAAAAAGTCAGCTTATTTTAACTGTGCAGAGTGATTAAAGTACGGCGTGCCAGCACGCTTACGTCTCACACAAATAATTAAGGCAAGCCCAATTAATAACATGGTCAATTAGAGGAAGATCATTATACACACCAGCTGCAAAAGCAGCTACTGCTAGCACGCTACACCACAGCAGAAACAGTGTGAGGCTTCTACAACACAGGCCACAGCACATGCCCCGTTCTGAGCCTGCAGATGCAGCTACAATTCGGACTGGATAATCAGCCTGCACAGGAAGACGTCCAGAAAAACTACTGAGATCCCAGACTCTAGTACTCCAGAAATATACTGGTTCTTAGGTTTAGCCCAGCCTGCTGAAAAATCAAGTTTCAAGTGTCAAGACACTGACACTACAGTTTGGAAAAGCTGAATTTTCATCAGCTGAAACATGGGTGTGTTAGCCCAGGAGCTTATTAGGCATTTTACAAACCTTTAAAAACTTTGTAATCAGTTGTTTACAGCACATTGTTATGGAAAGCAGTGATTTGCTCCCTTACTAGCATCTGCTTTCCTTTACATAACACATTTACATGCATGACAGACACACACACAAATCATGGTCATACTCTTCCCAGCTCTAGGAAGCAGAAGGTCACCTGTGGGGCAGGGCAGGTGTGTTTCACTAGTCATCTTAGTTCAAAATAGCAAAGCTCAGAGGAGAAAATGCAGCAGTTATAGGCACAAGCCTGGTATGCATACCTAGTTACTGCAGGACCATGGCAGCTGCCTGGTTACTGAAATTGTACAGTGACGGGCCGCCGAGAATTCTGATAATGAGATAAAGTGCATAGCTTTTGCAAACAGAAGATGCAAAATAAAAAAAATACAGCTAACTGACCTCAGCTGAGCCTTGTTCATCGCCCATCTCCCACTGTTAATGATCACAGTAGGTAGAACCAGTGGTACTCAGAACAGCAAGTACCTTCAGGCTATTTTAAGTCAAATACAGGGCTATACGCCTGGTAAGATGAAACTCCCTTAAATAAGATCAGGTGAAGCTCTAATAACACAAAGAACACGAGAGGGGGGATCCTTGACTTAAAACAAGGGACTTACCATTGTACCCTTCTAGGACAGAGTCAATAATAGGTCTTGCAGTTAAGTTATAGACATCCAGCTGTTTACTCTCTGGCCCAAACACGGTGTCAAATGTGAATGTCTTGGGAGGCTCGTTGGATGAGTCTGTTTTATGAACAGTTATAGTTCCTCTCATTTCATCTACGTTGACTGCCATTTTGTAGCCCGTAGCTTTCTCTCGCTCATTAAGAGGCCTGCATCGAACAACCACCTTGACATTGTCGCAGCTCTCTGGTTTGTCCAGCTTCTCGGGCTTGTTGATCTATAATTATTAAAAAAGCAAGAGAGTTACACAGGCTGTAGCACTACTGTTAACACACCTGTGCGTTTAAACACAAACGCTGTTGAATCGACTCAAGGAGATGGATATATCCCCACAGGATGGTGAACTTGGGGATTTAAAACCAGAATTGGTTTATAGTTAAAGTGAGAGAATAACATACACTTATTTAGTCAATGCAATCATCTTCTGTTTGCCAAGATGGAAACCGATTGAGTAAAACTTGAAAATTTCATAAAATGCTTTGGGTTGGAAGGGACCTCAAAGACCATCTAGTTCCAACCCCCCTGCCATGGGCAGGGAAATCCTCCACTACACCAGGCTGCCCAAAGCCTCATATTCAACATCACCTCTGGATTCCTTGGAGAACCAGTTTCACACTTGCAAACAACCTGCCAGCAGTTTGCTGGAAGCAGGTGCAGTTATGCTGTTCTTTTACACCAACACTGACCCTGCCCTCTCACTGGGGCACACCAGTCTCAAACCTTACAGGTGACATAAGCTGACACCAGCAAGCACCAGCTGAAGGAAACTAAAGCCACAAGCTTCAGCGTACTTGCTGAATTTTTAACCATTTAGAAAACCCAAACGCTGGATTGTAAAACTTTGCAAACCTTTTGTTTCACCGAGTAGTTACAAATACAAATTTTGAAGCACTGCTGATTAACTCGATGTCACACGCTTCTCCTAATTAAGCAAATCTAAACCCCATTTGATCCAGTAAAGCCCAAGACACCGCCCTTGATGCTGGGTGCTGCAGCTATCTCGGATATCAACAAGAAACGAATCCCGTTTCCAAGAGCCTCTTCCCCAGCTGCCTGGATTCCTCTCGGGCCTCAGCAGAAGCAGCTCCTGCTGCTCCGGGGGAAGCAGCGAGCGGGTCAG